CAGCATTTCTGGCACAGACTAGCAAGAGGAGTAATATTTAAATGTCTAGTCGACTACTCGCGTACAGACTTCTGCCTCCATAAAATTAAATGCATTAAGGGGTCCAGCTCTACCAGACCAATATGTTGACTGTCATGAGGCGTTGTTAAAATGAACAGCAGTAACAGGTGTAGCATCTGAGTCTAACTGTCCATGTTTACAGAGTGGGATGCCCTCTGCATCACTGACAGGCTAAAGGTGAAAGAATAAACATGAGAGTCCAGCGTGGTGAGTAGTTTTTTCTTTCTCTTATATGACGCGTTATTTCAGTGCAAAATCGTTCACGTTCATGTTGTAGAGAAGAAATAAGAGTAGAATAATAAGCGCTTGTTCCCCTGTTTGTTGACCTATTTGTATCCACAGTATATCTGTGGCCACCAGTCCTCGCCCGCACTATGTTCCACTGCCACGACTTCTAAAGCCGAACACAATGCAGAGCTGCCCGTAAAAAGCTACAGAGGCTGCAGAGCGGCAGAGCAGACAGCCATCTCACAGCGACAGCTGGATGTGTTTAATATTTACTATTACAAGCCGGCGTCGGCGAGCTCCAACTCAATCCAGCCGAAAATGCCAGGCGAGTATGTGAGGGGAAACAACAAGCAGCTCTTATGACAGGAATCAGGCTGGAACCGGAGATGAACGAGAAGTCATCACTTCTGTCTGAACTCAAACTTTCTCAAATGAAAAACAGAAATAGTTCATTATGAAACAATTGAAGACAAAAAGCTGAAATAATCTATCAAAATGATTTCTCCCGAAGCATCGGGGGATAAAAGCCAAACAGCTAATTGTTTTTCCGAGAAGCACGAAGCTGAGTTTCCCACGAGAGGTAATAAGTACACGTGCGGATGTGATGCAGAACCACACGCTCCCACAAGGAACCCGCTGAACCTCCGTGTAAACAAGGTGTTTTATAAAACATCAGCACTGAAAGGTTCCACTTCACAGCACCCGGCTCTCTCCAAACCTCAAACACATGCTCGCCACGATACGCCGCTATATGAACGTGCTGCTCGCCAAACCCACCTCCACCCTCGAAAAACAGCGACTGTCACTGTGATGTGGAAGGGTGCTGCAACTTTTTTCTAGATTTTCAGAAAGAAAACAAAAAAGTGAAGAGTAAGGAATGAAAAACAGGATTTCACACAGGTTGCAAGTATTTTGATGTACAGCCGCAACCCCGGTGCAAGAGCTTTTCATTAGTTGTCATCATTTAATAGGAAAGCAGTTTTATTTAAGATCCTGTATAATAATGTGAAGTTTCTCTTTTACAGGTCTCCACAAACTCAAACTTTTACATTTTTTCCTCTTGCCTGTTGTCATGTTTATCCTGTCATGCTTTTCAGGCGATTTCAAAGTAATATACAATTCCTTTTAGAGCTGGGAGCTTGCACTCCCCCAAATCTCTGCCACGAATATGAAAAGTTTGAGGTTGAAATGACCCACAGAGCAACAGCAGCCACAAAGCAAGGAAATAAACCTCGCGTATCCTTTAAAAAGCAAAGCAACGGTAAGTAAAGGGCAGCA